GATCAGGATTGCATTGTATATGTAGATTGCTTTGGGTAGAATTGACGTTTCCACAATGTTGAGTCTACCTATGTATGAGCATTGTATGCTTTTCCATTTATGTAGGTCTCATCTGGTTTTTTGCTGTAGTGTTTTGTAGTTTTCTTTGTATAGATCTTTTACCTCCCTGGTTAGATTTATTCCTAAGTATTTTATTTTTTTTTAGGGCCTATTATAAATGGTATTGTTATCCTGATTTCCTTTTCGTAGTTCTTTTTATTGGTGTATGGGAACCCAACTGATTTTTGTGTGTTTATCTTGTATCCTGCTACTCTAGCTGAATCTTTGTATTATTTCCACTAGTTGTCTTGTGGTGTCACTTGGGTTTTCTATGTATAGTATCATATCATCTGCAAATAGGGGTTGTTTTACTTCTTCCTTACCAATCTGGATGCCCTTTATTTCTTTTTCTTGCCTCATTGCTCTAGCTAGAACTTCAGCACGGTGTTAAATACAAGTGGTGATAGAGGGCATCCTTGTTCCTGTTCTCAGGGGAAATGTTTTCAGCCTCTCTCTGTTAAGAATCATGTTGGCTGTTGGTTTTATGTAGATGCCCTTTATTATATTGAGGAACTTCCCTTCTATTCCTACCTTATTGAGAGTTTTTATCAGGAGTGGGTGTTGGACTTTATCAAATGCCTTTTCTGTGTCGATTGAGATGATTATGTGATTCTTTTCTTTTGTTCTATTTATGTGATGGATTAATGTTGATTGATTTTCTAATGTTGAACCATCATTGCATACCTGGTATGAATCCCACTTGGTCGTGGTGTATTATTTTTTGATATGATGCTGAATTCTGTTGGCTAGAATTTTGCTGAGAATTTTTGCATCTATATTCTTGAGAAATACTGGTCTTTAGGTTTTTGTTTTTGTGGTGTCTTTGCCTGGTTTTGGTATCTGGCTTCGTAGAATGAATTCAGAGTATCCCTTCCTCTTCTGTGTTCTGAAATAGTTTGAGTAGTACTTGTGCAAGCTCTTCTTTGAATGTTTGGTAGAATTCTCCAGTTATGCCATGGGGGCCAGGGCTTTTTTTGTTGAGAGTTTTTTTTTTCTTCTTTTTTTAACCTTTTGAATCTCTTTTCGTATTATGGGTCTGTTCAGGTTTTTGGCCTCAGTTTGTGCTTTTTTAGATAACTAATGTGTTTCTAAAAATTTGTCCATTTCTTCTAGGTTTTCAAGTTTGTCGGAGTATAGTTTTTCATAGTACTCTGTTATGATCCTTTTAATTTCTTTTGGGTCTGTTGTAATGTCCCCCATTTCATTTCTTATTTGGGTTATTTGTATCCTGTCTTGTTTTTCTTTTGTCAGAGTGGCCAGTGGTTTGTTGATTTTGTGGATCCTTTCAAAGAATCAACAGTCGGTTTTGTTAATTCTTTCTATTGTTTTTCTGTTCTCCATTTCGTTTATTTCTGCTCTGATCTCTACTGTTTCCTTTCTTCTAGTGGCTGTGGACTTCTTTTGCTGTTCTCTTTCTAGTTGTTCGGATTGTATAGCTAATGTTTTGATTTCGTTCCTTTCTTCTTTTTTAATGTGTCGTCTGTTGTTATAAATTGATCTCTGAGCATTGCCTTCACTTTATCTCAGAGGTTTTAGCATGATATGTTATCATTCTTTGAAATTTTTTATTCCATCTTTGATTTCTTCTGTTACCCAGTGGTTTTTTAAAAGCAAGGTGTTACTCAGTTTCCTCGTTGTTTGTTTTTCCTTGCTCTTCCTGTTATTTTTACTTCGATTGCATTATGATCAGTGAAGATGCTTTATATTATCTCAGTGTTTTGGATTTTGTTGAGGGTTGCTTTGTGGCCTAAGATGAGGCCTTCTGGAGAACGTTCCGTGTGCGTTGGAAAAGAATATATAGTTTGCTACTGTTGGATGGAGTATTCTGTATATGTTAATAAGGTCAAGTTGGTTGATCTTCCGTATCTTTGTTGAGTTTCTGTCTTGATATTTTGTCCTTTACTGACAGTGGTGTGTTTAAGTGTCCTACTATTATTGTGGAACTGTCAGTTTCTCTTTTCAGTGATGTTAGAGTTTGTTTTATGTATTTTGGAGTGTAGATATTTATAATAAATTTATGTCTTTGTTTCTAAGGTGTGTCTCTTGTATACAGCATATTGTTGGCTCCTGTTTTTTAATCTATTCTGTCACTTTCTGTCTCTGTATGGGTGCATGATTATTGATAGGTGTGAGTTTATTGTCATTTTATAGTGCTGTTTTTTGTGGTACTGAAGTTTTCTTTGTTCCTCTTACTCTTTGTGCTGAATCCCTTTTGTTTGTGGATATTTTTGTTTGTTTCTTTCACTGTTGTGGGTGGGGGTAGAGTTGCGGGGATGGGTGGTTTGCAGCACGAACTGGGGGCAGCCGGGTGTGGCTGGGGAGCAATGCAGGGCAGGCTCTAGGGAACTGTGTTGGTACTGCTTGTGGGCGTGGCACTTGGCGCACGATGCAGAGATGCAGGAGGGAAAGGAGAGGATGTGTGGTGTGCAGAGCTAAGCGGGTGGGAGAAAAAAGAAACAAAAGCAAAATAAGAATTAAATAAAGTTACATAAAAAGGAAATAAAATGACATGGTGGTCGGATTTGGTGAGTGGGGACAGGGCAGACCCTGCAAGGCTGTATGCTGGTGGCTCGGGCTGTTGAAAAGGGGCGTGCATGGTGCACAGGGCTAGGTTGGCAGGAGAAAAGAAAAGAAAGGGGAAAGAGAAGAAACCAGTAATCAAACAAATAATAATAATAAAAAAAAAAAAACAACAGAATAATGTGGTGGGAGAGCCGGCCATCAGGGGTGGGGCAGGATTGGGCTTGAGGCAAGCTGTTGTCTCCCTCACCAGGTGGCACAGCACAGCCTGTCAGAAAGGGGTGCAGGTAGCGTTTGGCCAGTGTGGGAAGGAGAAGGAATAGGAGAAGGGAAAAGATAAAGAAAAGTAAAAAATGAGGGAGCCACCCAGACCCAGGAGGCCATGTGCCAGAGGCTCTCCAGCCAAGCGGTACAGCACAGCCCTCCATGAAGGTGGGGGTGGCGCATGGGGCTGGGTGTATGGGAGAAAGGAAGGAAGGGGGAGAGAGAGAGAGAAGAAACAATAACCTCAATAAAAAAGAACAAAACGAAACAAAAGCAAACAATAAATAATAAAATGGCACTGAGGGAGCTGGTTGGTGATGGCGGCCAGACCTTGGGAGGCTGTGCACAGTGACTCTCCAACCGAGCTGTGCAACATGGCCCCTCCAGAAGGGGCAGTGGTGGTGCACAGGGCTGGGTGGACAGGATAAAGGAAAGGAAAGAAAGGACAGAGAGAAGGCACAGAAAAGAAGGAGAAGAAAAAACAAAGCCAACAAATCAAAAAATCAGAGCCTATCAAGAAAGGGAGGGAATGGCACACAGGGCTAGCTGAGCAGGACAAAGGAAAGGAAGGAAGAGCGAGAGAGAGAAGCAACAAAAAATAAAAGCCAAAAAAAAGCCCAATATAAAAAAACAAACAAAAATACAAACAAAAAAAAATACACAAAAAATGACACTGAGAGGGCCGGCTGGTGGGGGCAAGGTGGACCCCTGCAACAGTGAGTTGTTGTCTCTCCAGCTGAGCAACCGTGGCCTGTTGGAAAGTGGCGGAGGCCTCGTACAGGGAAGATGGGTGGGAGGTGGGAAAGCGTGTATCACTGTTTACTGGCTGCTCTGTCTCCTGTTGGGAGCTCCGTGAAGTTGCCTTCCCGTACTGCCTGTCTACATTCTTTGGTGGCTGTAGTCCAAGATGGCAAATCCGGCCTCATTAGCTGGTAGGGGACGTCCACTCTGTAGCTCTCCTTGTTCTCTGTTCTCTGTCAGTTTCTTATTCCATTCAGCGCTTGATTATGAGTTCTTTATTCCTTCATTTGGTGCTTAGGGTTCCATGATTGACGTTTCTATCTGTTTTACTTAGTTTTTCAGGTCTTTGCTGCAGAGGGACGTACATGATGCTTCTGTCTGTAGCACCAACAATAGCGCCATGCTGGCTCCAGTGCAGATTTTGAAATATTCTTTTTGACGATGAACGTGACACCCTTCCTCTTCAGTTTGTCCATTGTTGGCATAATAGACTATATGCTTGTCCGATTCAAAATGGCCAAACCAGTCCATTTCAGCTCAGTAATGCCTAGGATATCGATCTTTATGCGTTCCATTTCATTTTTAACCACTTGCAATTTTGTTAGATTCGTAGTTTGTACATTCCATGTTCCCGTTATTAATGGATGTCTGCAGCTGTTTTCTTATTTTGAGTTGTACCACATCAGCAAATAGTCTCGAAAGCTTGACTCCAACCATGTCACTAAGGTTGACTCTACTTTGAGGAGGCAGCTCTTCCGCAGTCATATTTTGAGTGCCTTCCATCCTGACGGGCTCATCTTCTGGCACTATATCTGACAATGTTGCACTGCTATTCATAAGGTTTTCACTGGCCAATTTCTTCAGAACTAGACTGCCAGGTCCTTCTTCCTGGTCTTAGTCTGGAAGTTCCACTGAAACCTGTCCACCATTGGTGAACCTTGCTAGTATTTGAAATAGCAGTGGCATAGCTTCCAGTATCACAACAATGCAAGCCACCACCCTGTGGACAAACTGACAGATGAGTGGTTAAACACTAGTGGTTCTCAGTGTGCAGTTCCTGGACCAAGAGCTCCTATATCACCTGTGAACGTGTTAGAACTGCAGATTCACAAGGTCCCGCCTCAGACTCGTGGGGTCCAGTAATCGGTGTGATTCTGATGCCTGCTACTTTTTGAGAACCACTGAGAAACATAGAGTTGTACATTAATAGAAGATGGTGCAAACAGACTACTTGATGCATTCCGTTGATAGGCATGCACAGTCTTAGTCATCTTTGTTCAGACAGAAGTGTTATGAGTAAATACTTGATTAATAAATATTGTGAAAATATTGCTCAGTTTGGCTTTTGTTCAAGTGGTTTTCTCTTTTATTGATAGAAGATGTTTCTCTCAATTTGTTATCACCACCAGTCAGCTGAATCTACCTAACACTAATCGTACTTCTTGAGGTGAAAAGTTATAATGTGCTGAGTGTGAAAATAAGGTATGGAGGAAATTTGTGATTCAGAGGTTTTTTTTAAATTTTATTTTTTTAATGCTGAAATCTTAATTTACTCCAATGCTTCCATGCTTCATCTCCCCCAGCCCCCCCTCCCCCCTGCTAATCATTATCGATTGCTAGAAAGGTCTTATTTATTTGATACCTTACCATCAAAAACTCATTAACACTGAACTGTACGTATGAAGAATGGTGAAGTGGCAAAGTTTTGTTACATGTAGATTTACCACAGTAAATTTTAAACACAAAAAACCCAACTCATTGAAAGGATCAGAAGGCATTGTTTAACAACAGTCTCAGCTTAATCAAAATCCTATGAGAAAATAAGGCTGTGGAGAGGACCTTTACTTTCCTGATTTAAAATGGCTTGTGCCAGTCATCTCACTATGGACTGCATAAGAATAGTTTAAGTCAGTCTTAACTAATTGCTTGGATTAATATTTGAAGACCTTTGTATGGACATGTTTTACATCATATGTGCATATGATTTATATTTAAGTAATGATAGTGTTTTATTGCATTTCTTTTTCTGTTTTTCTTTCAGGAGAGAAATAGAAACAAACAATAACCTTACCGAGATATCCTGTTAGAATGACAACACTAATGACGTAGACTATGGAAATGCCTAATAAGTCAAAGAAGACGTTATTAAAGCTTTTTTTCTGCTTAAGGTGACATCTTTGAACACTTTAACACAGAGTTGACTCTTCTTGTACTGGTTTCATCAGCGCGTCTGCCCTCATACTCTCACCAAACACACTTGAGAACTGTAACTTCCGTCAAGCACTTTCTGTCCTGAAGCTTTTACCAGTATCTGCTGTCTTTTGTAATTATGCATCCTAGCTAAGGCACAGAAGACTGAATGCAAGGATTCATTAACTCTTTGAATTTGTTAAATACTAACAGTTAACCATAAGAAGTGGTTCAATGATGTAAGAGTCACACTGCTTCAACTTTTTCTTTGTTGTAGTTTTTAAATTGTCAATTTTTAGCTACTTGACAGATTAAAAGCAAAGTAATCATGCCATATTTAGTCCTGGAGTTCAAGTCTAAATGTTTATGTGGAAAATTATTGTAGTAAACTTTTAATATGGCAAAGCAACCTTAAGCTCTATTTTAGCCAAATGAAACATAATCTAAAATTATATTAGAACATTTCCCTTGTCTTCAAACTGTTTGGTGTAACAAAATATTGATATGCAGCTTGGTGGATTTCACCAGTAATGCACATTCTTCTCCCCTCCTTCCCCTGATAATATGTATACTGAAAAAAATGTGCATTTGTCTGAGGAATTATTTTGTTTGCTACCACTTAATGAATCTCAGAATTTTGAGTAAATGTACCTCAGTCTAACCAGACTTTTTATGACCTTTATAACTACATTTAAAAACCCTTAATTCCTATTTCTGGGTGTTTGCGAGCCTGATTGCTATCATGAAGTAAAAATTTATTACTCTAGATATTCACTAGCAAAATAAACATAGTTCTTGTTTAGCAAGCATATATACTGTTCCTCCACTTTTTTCTCCAGCTTTTGCAGTGTCCTGGCATCCTTAAAATACTTTGAAAATATGGCCTTGATCCATGGATTAAATCAGTATCTAAGTGAATGTGTTGATGTTTTATTGATCAGAGCTATATAAATGGGAATACAGCATATATCTGGGTATTCTTCTAGTTATCTTTTTTTAACATCTTATTTTTTTCATTAATTACATATCAACATTAATTTTGTATCTTGAAACAAATTGATTTTGTATAAGTAAATGTGTCAAGCATCTGTATTAACTGATTTGATGGCATGAGGTTATGAAGATAATATACTGCCCCTTACATTACTGTTCTAAAAGGAGAAAGCTATGTAGAAAGATGATTTGTTAAGGGTGAAAATAGCAATACAGTAGATCTGAATACCTTGATGTTTTGCATTATTCCACTTATGTTTACATCATGTTTAGAAATATTTTCATTTTCTGTGGTCTTTGGTCACTTCAGTTCAAACAATTAGTGACATATTTCTTTGAGGCTTTCATTTACATAATTGTTTTGTACAATGTTTTCTTAAAGTATGCAAATACTATAGTCAAGTGAAAAAATTACAGTATTTGGAGATAACCATAGCTATTTCACAGTTCTTTGGTAGTCCCAGAGTAGTTATATCAGTGTTTACTGAAGGGAACATCAAAACATAGTATATTACAAAATAAAAACTTTCTTAAAGGAAAATTGCACCTATTTTACCTTTTTAAGGGTTTAAGAAATAAGCCATGAAATCTTGTTAAATGTCTTTTAACTATTTATAATGAAAATCGGCATTTGGGTATAGTCACTACAGCAATGTTCTACATCCCTAAGGTTATATATATAGAGATAGGTAGATAGGGCATGTCAGAGATGACTGTTGTCATTCTGGAAGTCCTGTTAGAGAAAACTGTAAAGGGGTGACCTTGTAGAAAGGATCTGAGTCCTCTCCCTGAGGTTCTCTTTTTCTTGGTGCTTTATTAGCAACTCTGAATATTTTTATAAAAATAGTTACATTATAAATGGATTTAAACTTGTTTAATTTACAGTAAGTTTCTATGTGAGAAGTGTCATGGAAACTTTACCCAGCGAGCAAGCTGATTGCAGTAGCAGACTCAGAAATGTCAAATGTAACTGAATAATCTATTCATTGTGAGGAGTACATCCCAGTGCCTTTAACCTGGATTTCTAATCTTAAGTGAAATGGGTGCAGCATTCCTTTGGAAAAAACTTTGTTTTCTTTTCAGTTGATAATGTTGTATTTTTCTCATTTAAGTTTTCTCCAGAATGCCCACCTTCTCTTCCTCCTTGTTCTGTCAAGGTATTGCAAGACGTTTTTCCCCTAAGTGAAATTTTCACAGGTTGTCTCAATAGCACAACTAACTGAATGTTTCTTTACTCCTGTAGTTACCAAAAGGGAGAGAACCTGGGTTGTACAGGAGACACATAAGCAAATGTTTAAATAATCACAAATTGAGAAATTATTGGCCCAGTAAATTTCTTGCTTAATGTTTTTCCAAGTTCTGGTTATGAATGTTTCTTATTAAACTTATGTGGGTATTTTATTTTGAAAGGTATTATAGTTTGTATATTTAACAGTAAAGGGGAAAGCGTAACCAAAATTAGTATTCTTTCTCTATACATATTGGTACTTGAAAATTCCTTTCAAAAGAAACCCCGGCCTTTTCCTAATTTCAATACTTAATTCCTTGTTTTAACTTAAGTGATCTTTCTAATTCTAAAGCTGTGTTCTTTTTGAATACCATGCATGGGGGTTAAGCTGATGTTAAAACAGTTTGCAATAAAAAAAAAGAATCAGCTTGAGTCATTTAATCATTTCAAGTGCATTTTGCATCTTTTAAAAATAAGTTTGAGAAATTTAAGAGAATTGTGTTTTCATTAAGTTTTGCATATCTTTTGTTATGCCATGTAAATTCCCTTCTTTTTTGTATGTTTAAAGGGAGACTATGATAAAATGATTAGTTCATTTACATTCACTTGTAGCAATTACATGGGAATTTGAATTTTGTCGTGTTTGGGTTTCTTCATTCCTGTGAATGATGGTACAGTTAGGTGAGATTTTCTGTTATGGTACCCAAACTCACCATTTGGTCCTCTTTAATCTTTGAGGCTTTCAATAAAAATTATTCACTCATATCTGTGTTCTTTCCATTTTATCTTTATGTATTATCTGCCAGAGAGCATTATAACATTTTGCCTGCAGTGTTATGGATTTCCTGATTGACATATCTTTCAAGTACAAATAGATTATATCATTCATTCTAGTTGTCCATTTAAATAGGGGAATTAAAGGGAGAAGATAACAGTTTATCCTAATCTTTATCTACTTAAGTTATTGAATTACGTACTCTTAATACTAAATTTAGAGAAAGTGGGTCTGTTTATTTTCAGGTAGTAGGAGGAAATAGTGGTAACAGCCATCTAATAACTAATTCCCCGACTCTTGGTACCAAGGAATGTTTTTCTAACAGTATGAATGAACATAACTCCTTGGAATAGAGCTGATACTGATAGGATGAAGGTAGCTCTGGATTGTGCATTGACTAGTGCCAGGCTCTCTAGATAAGGCACTTTTTCAGAGGAGGGAGACATCTGCTGGCCTGGGATGAGTTCTAGGATCATTCCAGGTGCTCTATCAGCATGTTGCCATGTCTCCGAAGCCTGCTTTTTACTGGTCATCTAAAGGGAGGGTTTACATCTCATTAGCATACTTTTACTTGAAACTACTCATTCTTAGTTGGAAACCTAATTCTTAAACCAGCTCAAGGACTTTATCTTGCTTAGTGATACTAGATTTAATAATTCTAGTCTAGTGACTAAAATATTCTTACAGTCAGAAGTTAACTGACCAGTTCAAGGTCTTTATCTTTGCTTTCTAATCACAGTACTTGCCATGGTATAGTCTTATGTGTATTATTTCCTCATGTCACAGTGCAGTAGGAGAAGCAGAACTATCTGATATATCAGACTCTCCTATATATCACCCACACATAGTAGTGCCAGTTTAAATACAGTTTACTTATAAATGTGCACCAAATTCAGAATTTGTCTACTCTCAAATTTGAGTTACCTGTACAACACTGGGACTAAATATAAATGAAAAATTGTAGAACAGCATACAAGGAAGACAGGAGCAGAGTTCATAACACTGGTGGGTACCCCTGGTGGTATCCACCACTGGCACCCCGCTTGCCCTTCCAAAGACTACCCCTTAAGTAGAACACACCCTTAGAGATTTAGTTCCTGGAATGTCATTCCAAAAATTCATTGGTATTTCTAAGTGATGGCATGTAACCAAACTGGAAGTACTGTATAGGGAAAGATCTTAGAACTGGCAGTGAAAGACCCAACTTCTGGTTGTTACATCTAACTGGTAGGTTAACATGGGGAGAATCATTTCATTTCTTTGTTAGTGTTTTAATCAGTAAAACTAGGAAGTTGCATTACAGTACATGTAGGGGTACTTTCCAGTTGAGATTTTGTATTTTGTGATTTAAATAGTTAGCTTTGTAGCCTAGACTTGTTCTAGCAGTGGCAAATGTTTGTTCTTTTGAAAATGTTAGAAAACCAATATAAATTTTAATAATATCCTTTATTTTATTCAGAGTATTGGTACTGAGTACTCCAAATCATATTTCATGACTGAATCTGATAAAGTGTGGCCACTGCTTCCCCTTCAGTGAATTTTGAAATCTAGTGATAGAAAATCTTCATCTTTAGCACAGTTATTGGTAAAGAGAAGCAAGAGAATGTGTCCCAAAGAAATCCAAGTTTTGTTTTTCTTCTACTGCCATTTCACATTATTGTTGTTTTTTCTAATAGACTTTTAAAAATTTTTACAGAAAAAATATTACGTAGAGTTACCATGTACTCTGCACGTAGTCTCTGTTACTAACATCTTACCATAGTATGGTACATTGGTTACAATTTTTACAGAATTTCTTAGTTTCTACCTAATGTCCATTTTCTGTTCCAGGATATCATCCAGGATACCACAATACGTTCAGTTGTCATTTTTCAGACTCCTCCTGGCTGTGACATTTCTCAGACTTGTTATGAGCTTGACAGTTTTGAGAAAGTATTGGTTAGAGATGTGTTGGCATGCTCCTCTTTTGGGATTTGTCTGGTGTTCTGCTCATGGTTAGACTGGGCTTAGGTGTTTTGGCGATGAAGATCACAGAGGTCAAGTGCCATTTTCATCTCCTTATATCAAGGAGCATATTATCTACATGATCTGTGACTGTTGATGCTGGTCTTGATTCCTCGACTGAAGTAGTGTTTGCTGGCTATCTCCACAAGAGGTAAAATTCCCCACCCCTCCGTGTACTGTGCTGTTTGTAAGGAAGTCACTGTGTGCAGCCCACAGTAAAGAATGGGGTGACAAGCTCCCCCTTATCCTTGTATTTTGAAACGGGAATAAGGGAGTATTATTACTGCTTAGCCTTACTCCATCAGGCTTGTGTGCCAATACATTTTTCTCTTTGCTTCCGTGTTCTCGAATTCCCCCGTTGCTTTCCCCTTCTTTTCAACAAAATAGTCGTATATAGGAAGGATTTCAATGTAAACTCCTTCCTGTTCCTTGAATTAATTATAATTGTATAGAGAAGTAAAGATTTTAATAAAGGGATTGAAGATGTAGTAATATTTAGGTGATGGCAAAAAAAAAAAAAAACCATAGCAACTAGATAAGCGGTATGTTACAGCTGGAATGGTGCATCTTTTTTATTTTTTTTTTAAAGTGATTTATGTAGATTGGCATCTTTTTGCTGATGGAATTCTTTTGATACATTTCTGAAGCTGTGTAGTATAATGGCTAAACATATTTCTGAATGACACATCTGTAACCAGAATGGAAGTTAGTAATTGTATAGGGGAAAATCCAGTAGACTTGGGTTGGAATCCTAGGTCCACTTTTGCTATCTCTAAGCCTAGATCTCATCGATTTAGGAAAAAAGAAAAGAATGATAATAGAATCTGCCTCAAAAATGAAGTAATATCCAGAGAATGCTTAGCACAACTTCTCGACTCATGGCAAGCCCTCAAATGTTAGCAGTTACGATAAGCCTGTGAAAGCCAGAACCTGTGTAAGGCAAAAACCTGTCAGGAAAAACTCAAATATTTTCCACTAAAACAAAAGATAGAAAAGTGGTAAGATTGCACCCTGTTAAGGGAGGAGACCTTGAGAGACCGGGAAAAACAAGGCAGCTCTGTCGAGTTCTCTCACAGGTTTCACTGTACTATCTTCTTTTGTATCTTATGGAAAATTTAGAATTTATTGATTGCCTTTGAAGATTTCTTAGAGCAATCTTTACTGCTCAGATACAGCTTAGACATTGTTGTCAAAGTGCATTACTTCCAGTTCATATTGCAGTACCATTCAGATCCTGAGAACAGTCACTGCCTGAATAAAACTTAACATTTATCTTTGTTTTTACTAGTCTTGGTTTCCCGTGTTTTCAGTGATTCTCAGCCATGTCTCTTCTAAATAAGTAAAAGTATAACAAATTAGTTTTTCCTGCTAGAGCAGATGGCAGAACCAAAGGAAAATGAGATTAAAAACAAAGCAAATGGAGAATAACAGTTAGAAACCTATAAACAATAGAAGAAATTTCCTGCTGTGCTTGTTAAGGATGCCTGGAGATATCAAATGCTATTTAAATACACAAGTAAATTGTAAAAGCTTGAATTTTTAGTAACATTTCAAAATGGAAATACTAATGTGGATATATTACTTCCATCTTTTACTACTGAAATTGAGCAACTTTAAAAGGAAGGTATTTGGTGTACACAAAATAAGATGACAGTTCTAATCTACTGTATAGTCAAAGGAAAATTATGTCTTGAGATTAAAAAGTTTACAAATGAAACAAAACATTAATTTCAGCATAATATTGTTTAGCTATTATCCCCAACAGATATATTACGCTTATTATTTCTGCTTGGGACTTGCTGGATTAACTCTTTGTTTCCTTGGAGCCCTGGTGGTGCAGTGGTTAAGCGTTTGGCTGCTAACCACAAGGTCAGCAGTTTGAATCCACCAGCAGCTCCTCAGAAACCCTATGGAGCAGTTCTACTATGGTTCCAACTATGAGTTGGAATTGACTCCTCAGCGATGAATTCTGTTTCCTTTATTTTCTCTGTTAGGCTTCCACTGCTAGAGCACAATTTATATTTGCTTCTAGTAGCTTTCTTTACTATGTCTATGCACGTCTGAGCCCACTTTCAGTTTGTATGCTTACCAAGAGTCATTTGTGCTTCTTTTAAGCATGTTTATTCCTGTTTTACTTGTTTCTTCTATGATAAAATTTAAATATGTATACTAATGAAATATGACTGAAAGGATTATTTCTATGCAATTTTGTTGACTGCTTTGGAAATACTCGATAAAGGTGAGTTGTCTAATCAGGTGTAGATTAACAACTGTAAAAGCTTGAAGGGTTATCCTAAAAATGTAGACATTTGCACTTGGTTTACAAGTGTTTTTTCAGTTCTCACTCCACTGGAAAGCCTCAGATGATGCACATTATTTTGTGCATAGAAGAAAGACATCAGGGAACTCACATCAGCAGATGCCTATTAAAAGAAAAAATCTTGGACCTATAGCAGATGATTGGTGAATTAAAGCCTGTCTGTTTTAAATTAAAATGTTTAAGGTTTGTACGTATCACTTTTTACGTATCTACTTCACATCAGTTTATTACTTAACACTGTTGAGTAAAAAAAAAAATTAACTTTTTTTTTTAAGTCTAGAAACAGTTACGCTCTGCACTAAATAGGTTGGGTTGAACCTTTTTTTTTTTTTTGCCTGTGGTTGCAAGTTACATGTGTATTGATAAAGCTGTTATAATATCTTTGCAAATAAATGCAGTAAGGAAAAAGAAATGTTCACACCTACCATTTAGGAAATACAGTGTACTAGCAGTTAAAGATTTATTTGAAGTACTTAAACTGTAAGAAATGTTTCCTGTATGAAATGTTGGAGAGAAGAAATACACCCATTAATAATTCCTGGTATCTAAATTTAAAGTCTCTGAAACTATGTCAAGTCTTTGGAATTGTCTGGAGCAAACCATTCCTCTTTTGTAAAGGCACACATTTTATTTCTCAGAGATTATGTAAACTGGTTTCCCACTTCT